GTTTCTCCTGCTCTTTTCCCTGCCCTTTTCCCCTCAGTTTTTCCTGCCTTTTTTCCCACTTTTCCCCTCAGTTTTTCCCGTTCTTTTCCCCTCAGTTTTTCCCTGTTTTCCCCACAGTTCCCGTAACTTTTTCCCGCCCATTTTTCCACTTTTCCCCTCAGTTTTTCCCACCCTTTCCCCTCAGTTTTTCCTGCTCTTTCCCCCATATTCTACTTGTTTCTCCTCCTCTTTTCCCTGCCCTTTTCCCCTCAGTTTTTCCTGTCTTTTTCCCACATTTTCCCTCAGTTTTTCCCTCAGTTTTTCCCTCAGTTTTTCCCACCCTTTTCCCCTCTGTTTTTCCCTGTTTTCCCCACATTTCCCTTCACTTTTTCCCGCCCATTTTTCCCCTTTTCCCCTCAGTTTTTCCTGCCTTTTTTCCACCCTTTCCCCCTCAGTTTTTCCCACCCTTTTCCCCTCAGTTTTCCTGCCCTTTTCCCCTCAGTTTTTCCCACCCTTTTCCCCACATTCTCCTTGTTTCTCCTGCTCTTTTCCCTGCCCTTTTCCCCTCAGTTTTTCCTGCCTTTTTTCCCACATTTTCTTTTCAGTTTTTTCCCACCCTTTCCCCTCAGTTTTTCCTGCCCTTTTACCCCACATTTTCCTTGTTTCTCCTGCTCTTTTCCCTGCCCTTTTCCCCCTCAGTTTTTCCTGCCTCTTTCCCCACATTTTCCCTCAGTTTTTCCCACCCTTTTCCCCTCAGTTTTTTTCCCCACATTTCCCCTCAGTTTTTCCCACCTTTTTCCCCTCAGTTTTTCCCTGTTTTCCCTGCATTTCCCTTCACTTTTTCCCGCCCATTTTTCCACTTTTCCCCTCAGTTTTTCCTGTCCTTTTCTCCACCCTTTCCCCTCAGTTTTTCCCACTCTTTTCCCCTCAGTTTTTCCTGCCTTTTTTTCCCACATTTCCCCTCAGTTTTTCCCACCCTTTCCCCATAGTTTTTTCCTGCTCTTTCCCCCACATTCTCCTTGTTTCTCCTCCTCTTTTCCCTGCCCTTTTCCCCTCAGTTTTTCCCTGCCTTTTTTTCCCACATTTCCCCTCAGTTTTTTCCCACCCTTTTCCCCTCAGTTTTTCCCTGCCTTTTCCCCCACATTCTCCTTGTTTCTCCTTCTCTTTTCCCTGCCCTTTTCCCCTCAGTTTTTCCTGTCTTTTTTCTCCACATTTCCCCTCAGTTTTTCCCACTCTTTTCCCCTCAGTTTTTCCCCTGTTTCCCCCCACATTTCCCTTCACTTTTTCTGCCCATTTTTCCACTTTTCCCCTCAGTTTTTCCTGTCCTTTTCCCCACTCTTTTCCCCTCAGTTTTTCCCACCCTTTCCCCCACATTCTCCTTGTTTCTCCTGCTCTTTTCCCTGCCTTTTCCCCCTCAGTTTTTCCTGCTTTTTTTTCCCACATTTCCCCTCAGTTTTTCCCACTCTTTTCCCCTCTGTTTTTCCTGCCCTTTTCACCCCACATTCTCCTTGTTTCTCCTGCTCTTTTCCCTGCCCTTTTTCCCCTCAGTTTTTCCTGCCTTTTTTCCCCACATTTCCCCTCCGTTTTTCCCCACCCTTTTCCCCTCAGTTTTTCCCCTGTTTTCCCCACATTTCCCTTCACTTTTTCCCGCCCATTTTTCCATTTTCCCCTCAGTTTTTCCTGTCCTTTTCCCCACTCTTTTCCCCTCAGTTTTCCCACATTTCCCCTCAGTTTTTCCCACTCTTTTCCCCTCAGTTTTTCCCTGTTTCCCCCACATTTCCCTTCACTTTTTCCTGCCCATTTTTCCACTTTTCCCCTCAGTTTTTCCTGTCCTTTTCCCCACTCTTTTCCCCTCAGTTTTTCCCACCCTTTCCCCCCACATTCTCCTTGTTTCTCCTGCTCTTTTCCCTGCCCTTTTCCCCTCAGTTTTTTCCTGCCTTTTTTCCCACATTTTCCCTCAGTTTTTCCCACTCTTTTCCCCTCAGTTTTTCCTGCCTTTTCCCCCACATTTCCCCTCAGTTTTTCCCACCCTTTTTCCCCTCAGTTTTTCCCTGTTTTCCCCCACATTTCCCTTCACTTTTTCCCGCCCATTTTTCCACTTTTCCCCCTCAGTTTTTCCTGTCCTTTTCTCCACCCTTTTCCCCTCAGTTTTTCCTGCCCTTTCCCCCACATTTTCCTTGTTTCTCCTGCCCTTTTCCCCCCTCAGTTTTTCCTGCCTTCTTTCCCACATTTTCCCTCAGTTTTTCCCTGCTCTTTTCCCCTCAGTTTTTCCTGCCTTTTTCCCCACATTTTCCTTCAGTTTTTCCCACCCTTTTCCCCTCAGTTTTTTCCCTGTTTTCCCCACATTTCCCTTCACTTTTTCCCGCCCATTTTTCCACCTTTCCCCTCAGTTTTTTCCTGTCCTTTTCTCCACCCTTTCCCCCTCAGTTTTTCCCACTCTTTTCCCCTCAGTTTTTCCTGCCCTTTTACCCCACATTCTCCTTGTTTCTCCTGCCCTTTTCCCCTCAGTTTTTCCCACCTTTTCCCCTCAGTTTTTCCCACCCTTTCCCCCACATTCTCCTTGTTTCTCCTGCTCTTTTCCCACCCTTTTCCCCTCACTTTTTCCTGCCTTTTTCCCCACATTTTCCTTCAGTTTTTCCCACCCTTTTCCCCTCAGTTTTTCCCTGTTTTCCCCACATTTCCCTTCACTTTTTCCCGCCCATTTTTCACTTTCCCCTCAGTTTTTCCTGTCCTTTTCTCCACCCTTTCCCCTCAGTTTTTCCCACTCTTTTGCCCTCAGTTTTTCCTGCCTTTTTTTCCCCACATTTTCCCCTCAGTTTTTCCCACTCTTTTCCCCTCAGTTTTTCCTGCCTTTTCCCCCACATTCTCCTTGTTTCTCCTGCTCTTTTCCCCTGCCCTTTTCCCCTCAGTTTCTCCTGCCATTTTCCCCTCAGTTTTCCCTGTTTTTCACACCTTTTTCCCCACATTTCCCTCAGTTTTTTCCCACCCTTTTACCCCACATTTTCCTTGTTTCTCCTGCCCTTTTCCCTGCCCTTTTCCCCTCAGTTTTTCCTGCCTTTTTTCCCACATTTTCCCTCAGTTTTTCCCACCCTTTTCCCCTCAGTTTTTGCCTGTTTTCCCTACATTTCCCTTCACTTTTTCCTGCCCATTTTTCCACTTTTCCCCTCAGTTTTTCCCACCCTTTTCTCCACCCTTTCCACTCAGTTTTTCCCACCCTTTTCCCCTCAGTTTTTCCTGCCTTTTCCCCCACATTTTCCCTCAGTTTTCCCCACTCTTTTCCCCTCAGTTTTTCCCTGTTTTCCCCACATTTCCCTTCACTTTTTCCCGCCCATTTTTCCATTTTCCCCTCAGTTTTTCCTGCCTTTATTCCACCCTTTCCCCCTCAGTTTTTCCCACTCTTTTCCCCTCAGTTTTTCCTGCCCTTTCCCCCACATTTTTCTTGTTTCTCCTGCTCTTTTCCCTGCCCTTTTCCCCTCAGTTTCTCCTGCCCTTTTCCCCCTCAGTTTTCCCTGTTTTTCACACCCTTTTCCCTGCATTTCCCTCAGTTTTTCCCACCCTTTCCCCCACATTCTCCTTGTTTCTCCTCCTCTTTTCCCTGCCCTTTTCCCCTCAGATTTTCCTGTCTTTTTTCCCACATTTTCCTCAGTTTTTCCCACTCTTTCCCCCTCAGTTTTTTCCTGCCCTTTCCCCCACATTTTTCTTGTTTCTCCTGCTCTTTTCCCTGCCCTTTTCCCCTCAGTTTTTTCCTGCCTTTTTCCCCTCAGTTTTCCCTGTTTTTCAACACCCTTTTCCCCCACATTTTCCCCTCAGTTTTTCCCACCCTTTTCCCCTCAGTTTTTCCCTGTTTACCCCACATTTCCCTTCACTTTTTCCCGCCCATTTTTCCACTTTTCCCCTCAGTTTTTCCTGTCCTTTTCTCCACCCTTTCCCCCTCAGTTTTTCCTGCCCTTTCTCCCACATTCTCCTTGTTTCTCCTGCTCTTTTCCCTGCCCTTTTCCCCTCAGTTTTTCCTGCCTTTTTTTCCCACATTTTCCCTCAGTTTTTCCCACCCTTTTCCCCTCAGTTTTTCCTGCCCTTTTACCCTCATTTTCCTTGTTTCTCCTGCTTTTTTCCTGCCCTTTTCCCACCTTTTTTCCCACATTTTCCCTGTTTTTCCCACCCTTTTCTCCCCTCAGTTTTTCCTGCCTTTTTTCCCACATTTTCCCTCAGTTTTTCCCACCCTTTTCCCCTCAGTTTTTCCTGCTCTTTCCCCCACATTTTCCTTGTTTCTCCTGCTCTTTTCCCTGCCCTTTTCCCCTCAGCTTTTCCTGCCTTTTCCCCCACATTTCCCCTTAGTTTTTCCCACCCATTTTCCCCTCAGTTTTTCCTTGTTTCCCCCACATTATCCTTCACTTTTTCCTGCCCATTTTTCCACTTTTCCCCTCAGTTTTTCCTGTCCTTTTCTCCACCCTTTTCCCTTCAGTTTTTCCCACTCTTTCCTCCTCAGCTTTTCCTGCCTTTTTCCCCACATTTTCCCTCAGTTTTTCCCACCCTTTTCCCCTCAGTTTTTCCCTGTTTTCCCCACATTTCCCTTCACTTTTTCCCGCCCATTTTTCCACTTTTCCCCTCAGTTTTTCCTGTCCTTTTCCCCACACTTTTGCCCTCAGTTTTTCCCACATTTTCCCTCAGTTTTTCCCACTCTTTTCCCCTCAGTTTTTCCTGCCCTTTCCCCCACATTTTCCTTGTTTCTCCTGCTCTTTTCCCTGCCCTTTTCCCCTCAGTTTTTCCTGCCTTTTTTCCCACATTTTCCCTCAGTTTTTCCTGCCCTTTTCCCCTCAGTTTTCTCCTGCCTTTTTCCCCTAAGTTTTCCCTGTTTTTCACACCATTTTCCCCACATTTCCCCTCAGTTTTTCCCTCAGTTTTTCCCGCCCTTTTCCCCTCAGTTCCCCTCCGTTTCTCCAGCCCTTTTCCCCTCACTTTTCCCTGCTCTTCCTTCCACTTTTCCCTTAAAAAAACCCGGAATTATCCCCGTTTCCCACCAGGTCAGGAGCGGGCCGAGCCCAAATCCTGCTGCTTTCCCCGGAATCCGTGACGGGATCGGGATTTTTTTCCCGCCTTTTTTGCCATTTCCCTCCGGTGGCTTTCGCCTGCCTGGATGAAGCTCATTGCATCTCCCAATGGTCCCATAATTTCCGACCCGCTTACCTCAGGGTCTGCAAGGTGGGAAAAACCCCCAAAAACCTCAGAAAAATTCCCCCCTAAAAATCCCCAAAAAATCTGGAATTGATTCCCAAAATTCCAGGTTCTTCGGGAGCGTTTGGGAGTTCGGTGCTTCCTGGGCCTCACGGCCACGGCCACGGTGGCCACGGCTCGGGACGTGGCCAAACATTTGGGGATTCCTGAGGGAAATTCCACCATCGGAGCCTTCGGAATTCCCGAAAATCTGGCGGCTCTCGGTGTCTCTGGAGGATGACCTGGATCAGGTGGGTGCGGATTTGGGGAGTTTGAGGGAAAAATCCTTATTTTTAGGGCCTAAAATTGCATTTATAGGCCTCAATCTCATATTTTCTGAGGGAAAAATCCCCATTTTTAGGCCTCAATCTCGCATTTTCTGAGGGAAAAATCCCCATTTTTAGGCCTCAATCTCACATTTTCTGAGGGGAAATCCCCATTTTTAGTGCCTAAAATTGCATTTTTTGCCCTCAAATCCCGCATTTTGTCAGGGAAAATCCCCATTTTTAGGCCTCAATCTCGCATTTTCTGAGGGAAAATCCCCATTTTTAGGGCCTCAAATTGCATTTTTTGGGCATAAATTCCACATTTTGTGAGGGAAAGTCCACATTTTTAGTACCTAAAATTGCATTTTTAGGCCTCAATCTCGCATTTTGTGAGGGAAAATCCCCATTTTTAGGGCCTAAAATTGCATTTTTAGGCCTCAATCCCGCCTTTTGTGAGGGAAAATCCTTATTTTTAGTGCCTCACATTGCATTTTTTAGGCCTCAATCCCGCATTTTGTGAGGGAAAATCCCCATTTTTAGGGCCTCACATTGCATTTTTTGGCCTCAATCCCGCATTTTGTGAGGGAAAATCCCCTTTTTTAGGGCCTAAAATTGCATTTTTGGCCTCAATCCCACATTTTGTGAGGGAAAATCCCCTTTTTTAGGGCCTAAAATTGCATTTTTAGGCCTCAATCCCGCATTTTGTGAGGGAAAATCCCTTTTTTAGGGCCTAAAATTGCATTTTTTGGCCTCAATCCCACATTTTGTGAGGGAAAATCCCCATTTTTAGTGCCTAAAATTGCTTTTTTTTGCATCAATCCCACATTTTGTGAGGGAAAATCCCCATTTTTAGGGCCTGACATTGCATTTTTTTGCCTCAATCCCACATTTTCTGGGGGAAAAGTCCACATTTTTAGGGCCTCAAATTGTAATTTTTGGGATCAATCCAATATTCTCTGAGGAAAAAAATCCCGTTTTTAGGGTATAAAATTTCATTTTTTGGGATCAATCGCACATTTTCTAAGGAAAAAGTTCATTTTTAGAGCTTAAAATTGCATTTTTGGGATCAATTCCACATTTTCTGAGGGAAAAAGTTAGTTTTTAGGGCCTAAAAATGCATTTTTGGGCCTAAATTCTACATTTTCTGAGGGAAAATCCCCAATTTTAGGCCTTAAAATTTCATTTGTTTGGGATTAATCCCACATTTTCTGAGGGAAAAAGTTCATTTTTAGGGCCTAAAAATGCATTTTGGGGCATAAATTCCACATTTTCTGAGGGAAAAGTCCAGATTTTTTGGGCTTAAAATTTCATTTTTTAGGACAAATTCCACATTTTCTGAGGGAAAAAGTCCAGTTTTAGGGTCTAAACTGTCAATTTTTTGAAAAAACTTTCTCAGTTTTTGGGCTTAGAATTTCATTTTTTGGGATTAATCCCACATTTTCTGAGGGAAAAGTCCAGATTTTCAGGGAAAAAATTTCTTTTTTTTCAGACAAATTCCACATTTTGTGAGGAAAAAAGTCCATTTTTAGGGTCTAAAAATGCATTTTTGGGCCTAAATTCCACATTTTCTGAGGGAAAATTCCATTTTTAGGGTCTAAACTGTCAATTTTTTTGATAAAAATTCTCATTTTTAGGGCCTAAAATTTCATTTTTTGGGATCAATTCCACATTTTCTGAGGGAAAATCCCCCAGTTTTACATCTTAAAATTTCATTTTTGGGATTAATCCCACATTTTCTGAGGGAATTCCCAGATTTTCAGGGAAAAAAACTTCTTTTTTTCAGACAAATTCCACATTTTTTGAGGTAAAAAGTCCATTTTTAGGTCTAAGCTGTCAATTTTTTTGATAAAAATTCTTATTTTTAGGGCCTAAAAATGCATTTTTTGGGATTAACCCACATTTTCTGAGGGAAAACTCCAGATTTTCAGGGAAAAAAATTTCATTTTTTCAGACAAATTCCACATTCCCTGAGGGAAAATCTCCCAATTTTAGGGCGTAAAATTTCATTTTTTTGGGATTGATCCCACATTTTCTGGGGGAAAGTCCAGATTTTTAGGACTTAAAATTTCATTTTTTGGGACAAAGTCCGCATTTTCTGAGGGAAAATCCCCCAGTTTTAGGCCTTAAAATTTCATTTGTTTGGGATTAATCCCACATTTTGTGAGGGAAAAAGTTCATTTTTTGGGCCTAAAAATGCATTTTTTGGGCATAAATTCCACATTTTCTGAGGAAAAAAGTCCAGTTTTAGGGTCTAAACTGTCAATTTTTTGGGAAAAATTCTCATTTTTAGGGCCTAAAATTTCATTTTTTGGGATCAATTCCACATTCCCTGAGGGAAAAAGTTCATTTTTAGGGCCTAAAAATGCATTTTTGGGCCTAAATTCTACATTTTCTGAGGGAAAATCCCCAATTTTAGGCCTTAAAATTTCATTTTTTGGGAGTAATCCCACATTTTCTGAGGGAAAATTCCATTTTTAGGGTCTAAAACTGTCAATTTTTTTGATAAAAATTCTCATTTTTAGGGCCTAAAATTTCATGTTTTGGGATCAATCCCACATTTTCTGAGGGAAAAAGTTCATTTTTGGCTCCTAAAAATGCATTTTTTGGGATCAAACCCACTTTTTCTGAGAGAAAAATCCAGATTTTCAGGGAAAAAATTTCATTTTTTCAGACAAATTCCACATTTTCTGAGGGAAAAAGTCCATTTTTTGGGCTCAGAATTTCATTTTTTTGGAATTAATCCCACATTTTCTGAGGGAAAAAGTTCATTTTTAGGGCCTAAAAATGCATTTTTGGGCATAAATTCCACATTTTCTGAGGGAAAAAAATTCATTTTTAGGGCCTAAATTTGCATTTTTTGGTCATAAATTTGACATTTTCTGAGGGAAAAGTCCACATTTTTTAGGGCCTAAAATTGATTTTTTGGGAAAAATCCCGTATTTCCTGAGGGAAAAAATTCTATTTTTTGGTCCTAAAATGGAACTCTTTGGGCTTAATCCCACATTATCTGAGGGAAAAATCCAGATTGTCAGGGAAAAAATTTCTTTTTTTCAGGCAAATTCCACATTTTCTGAGGGAAAAAACTCCATTTTTAGGGTCTGAACTGTCAATTTTTTGAAAAAACTTTCTCAGTTTTTGGGCTTAGAATTTCATTTTTTGGGATTAATCCCACATTTTGTGAGGGAAAAAATTCATTTTTAGGGCCTAAAAATGCATTTTTGGGCCTAAATTCCACATTTTCTGAGGGAAAAAGTTCATTTTTAGGGCCTAAAAATGCATTTTTTGGGATCAATCCCACATTTTCTGAGAGAAAAGTCCAGATTTTCAGGGAAAAAGATTTCTTTTTTTTCAGACAAATCCCACATTCCCTGAGGGAAAATCCCCAATTTTAGGGCTTAAAATTTCATTTTTTGGTATTAATCCCACATTTTCTGAGGGAAAAATCCAGATTTTTCAGGGGAAAAAAAATTCTTTTTTTTTTTTCAGACAAATTCCACATTTTGTGAGGGAAAAGTCCAGATTTTCAGGGAAAAAAATTTCATTTTTCAGACAAATTCCACATTTTCTGAGGGAAAAAGTCCATTTTTAGGGTCTAAACTGTCAATTTTTTTGAGAAAAATTCACATTTTCAGGTCCTAAAATTTCAGTTTTTTGGGATTAATCCCACATTTTCTGAGGGAAAAAGTTCATTTTTAGGGCCTAAAAATGCATTTTTGGGCCTAAATTCTACATTTTCTGAGGGAAAATCCCCGATTTTAGGCCTTAAAATTTCATTTGTTTAGGATTAATCCCACATTTTCTGAGGGAAAATTCCATTTTTAGGGTCTAAACTGTCAATTTTTTTGATAAAAATTCTTATTTTTAGGGCCTAAAATTTCATGTTTTGGGAATAATCCCACATTTTCTGAGGGAAAAAGTCCATTTTTTGGGCCTAAAAATGCATTTTTTGGGATCAATCCCACCTTTTCTGAGGGAAAATCCCCAATTTTAGGCCTTACAATTTCATTTTTTTGGGATTAATCCCACATTTTGTGAGGGAAAAAAGTTCATTTTTAGGGCCTAAAAATGCATTTTTGGGCCTAAATTCCACATTTTCTGAGGGAAAACGTTCATTTTTAGGGCCTAAATTCCACATTTTCTGAGGGAAAATTCCATTTTTAGGGTCTAAACTGTCAATTTTTTGATAAAAATTCTCATTTTTAGGGCATAAAATTTCATTTTTTTGGGAATAATCCCACATTTTCTGAGGGAAAAAGTCCAATTTTAGGGCCTAAAAATGCATTTTTGGGCCTAAATTCTACATTTTCTGAGGGAAAATCCCCATTTTTTCCCTGAAAATCCAATTTTTATAGATGAAAAAACCCCAAATTTTAGGAAAAAATTCCTACTTTTGCCTTTTTCCCCTGCAGGCCGTGGTGCGGGTGCTGCGCGAGTGGAGCCGGGAGGGGCTGAGGGGCTCTGTGCTCGTTTACTGCGCGCGCAGGGAGGACAGCGAGCGCCTGGCGGAGCGGATCCAAAACGACTTCCCTGAGGGGCCGCCCACGGCAGACTGGCAAGGTGGGGAAAATGGGGGGAAATGGGGGAAAATGGGGAAAAAATTGGGGAATTTTGGGGGAAAAATGAGGAAAAAATTGGGGAATTTGGGGGGGAAAATTGGGGAATTTGGGGGGGAAAATTGGGGAATTTGGAGGAAAAAATTGGGGAATTTTGGGGAAAATGGAGGGGAAAATTGGGGAAAATTGAGGAAAAAATTCGGGAATTATGGGGGAAAAATTGAGGGAAAAATTGGGGAATTTTTGGGGGAAAAGTGAGGAAAAATTGGGGAATTTTCTGGGGAAAATTGAGAAAAAAACTGGGGAATTTTGGGGGGAAATGGAGGAAAAAATTGGGGAATTTGGGGGAAAAACTGGGGAAATTTGAGGAAAACATTGGGGAATTTGGGGGGGGAATTGAGAAAAAAAATTGGGGAATTTTAGGGGAAAATTGAGGAAAAATTGAGGAATTTTAGGGGGGAAATAGAGAAAATTGGGGAATTTTGGGGGGAAATTGAGAAAAAAAAAATGGGGAAATTGGGGGGAAAATCAGGAAAAAATATGGAGGAAAAAATGGGGAATTTTGGGTGAAAATGGGGGGAAAATGGAGAAAAAATTGGGGAATTTTGGGGGAAATTGAGGAAAAAACTGGAAAATTTGGGGGGAAAATTGAGGAAAAATTGGGGAATTTTGGGGAAAATTGAGGGAAAAATTGGGAATTTTCTGGGGAAATTTGAGGAAAAAAATTGGGGAATTTGGAGGGAAAATTGAGGAGAAAATTGGGGAATATTTGGGGGGAAATGGAGGAAAAAACGGGGGAAATTTTGGGGGAAAATTGAGGAAAAAATTGGGGAATTTGGGGGGAAAAGTGAGGAAAAAAAATGGGGGAAAATGGAGGAAAAAAAATGGGGAAATTTCGGGGAAAATGAGGAAAAAATGGGGAAATTGAGAAAAAAATTGGGGAATTTGGGGGAAAATTGAGGGAAAAACTGGGGAATTTTCTGGGGAAATTTGAGGAAAAAATTGGGGAATTTGGAGGGAAAATTGAGGAAAAAAATGGAGGAAAATTTTGGAATTAGGGGAAAAAAATGGGGAATTTGGGAGGGAAATGGTGAAAATTTGGGGAAAAAGTCAGGAAAAATTGGGGAATTTTGGGAAAAGTTCGGGAAATTTAGGGGGGAAAAGTCGAGAAAAAATTGGGGGGAAATTTGGGGTAAAATCAGGAAAAAATGGGAATTTTCAGGGAAATTAGGAAAAAATTGGAGGAAAATTTGGGAATTCTGGGGAAAATGGAAGATTTGGGGAAAAAGGAAAAAATTGGGGATTTTTGGGAAAAGTTGGGGAAATTTAGGGGGGAATTTGGAGAAAATTTGGGAAAAAATGGGGGAAATTCAGGGCAAATGCAGGAGAAAATCAGGAGAAAAATTGGCGAATTTGGGGGGAAAATTGAGGAAAAAATGGGGATTTGGGGGGGCAAATGTGAGGAAGATTGGGGAATTTGGGGAAAAAATGCGGAAATTTCTGGGGAAAATTGAGAAAAAGATTGGGGAATTTTGGAGGGAATTTGGGGGGAAAATTGAGGAGAAAATTGGAGAATTTGGGGGAAAAATTGAGGAAAAACAATTGGGAAATTTGGAGGGAAATTGGGGAAAAAATTGGGGAATTTGGGGGGAAAATCAGGAAAAATATGGAGGAAAAATGGGGAATTTTGGGGGGAAATTGAGGGAAAAAATTGGGGAAGTTGGGGAAATTTAGGGGGAAAATTGAGAAAAAATTGGGGAAATTTGGAGGGAAAATTTGGAGAAAATACTGGGAAAAAATGGGGAATTTGGGGGGGAAATTGAGGGAAAAATTGGGGAATTTGGGGGGAAAAGTGAGGGAAAAATTGAGGAATTTGGGGAAATTTAGGTGGGAAAAATGGGGAAATTTAGGGGGAAAATTGAGGAGAAAATTGGGGAATTTTGGG